ATTGCATATTTTTGCTGCAGTTTGAATAAAATAATAATAAAAAAAGGTCAGATTTTTGCTTTTAAACACAAGATGCTCTTTGGAACATTTGGTTCATATGTGTACTATTAAGTGTACTTAAGAGTGTGCATATTGTGTAGACCTGTTAATGCATAGGATGTCAAATGTTTGATTATAATTAAGTATTTTATTTTGTTGTTATTTTCTCTTAAAGGTTATCAACCTAATCTGAATCTATTTGAACTTAAACTGAGCTTTTTGCTATTGAAATGGCAAACTACTGTTTCAAGTTCACCATCTAACTTCAATCAAACTATCATCTGTTGGAAAACTGCTTTAATCAGTTATGAAATTGAATGGAAATCAACACACTGCAAAACAACCATGATTGTAGAAAGTTTATTGAAGATGCAAAGTAAAAGCCATTTTTTGAGTTGATCCTCATGTCTGTGGTTGACTGAGCTCTTTTTCAAGTTAAAGGCAGTATTGATGTGTGAACTTCCAAAATAACTTGACATTATCAAATATGTACAAAAAAAATTATATATATATATATATATATATGATAATATTGTTATTATAGTGTTATATTGTTACATTGAATATTTGAACCGAAAAATTAACATGAATTTCAGAATATTTTAACATTTAGTTAGTCTGGATTTAATGACAATTTGTTTTGACAATTTAATTTGTAATGAAAAAATGAATTTTTTAGTTGTCTCAGATGTTTGGACTTTGTTGTCTGATACCAACATAAAACACATCATGTTTGTTGTGTTTGTACGGCCCTCTAGAGGCTGTGCTTCTCCAGAGAGAGACATTTGAGATCCTGTTAACTAATTATTCTGATCTTGTCATGACCCGAGGTGAGCGACTGCTTTTGACAAGAACCCAAGTATAATCACTGCAGCATCGGCACATCTGCTACAGTTCAGTTAAAGGGCAACATCTGCTTATCCAAAGTAAATTATTGCATTTTATCAGTGCAATGCATTCTCAAGGAATCGAACCCAACTTTGCTGTTGCAAGCACCATGCTATACAGTTTCAGCTATATGCTATAACAATAAAGTTTCTAAAAGGATTCTTCGCAGTGATGCTATAATGTAGGCATAGAAGAGTTCTTAAAATAACCATTTTTTTCTTAGTGTGAAGAACATTTAATAATCTAAATAACCTTTTTTCACTATAACGAATCTTTTGTGGAATGAAAAGATTCCATGGAGGTTTAAAAGGACTTTTCATGAAAATTTGTTTTTTGATCTTTGTCTCCTTTCTAATTTTTTTTTTTTAAACAAAGTATTTCTAATTCCAAAGGTCTAAACCTGCACATAAGCTTTTGGCTATTGGAAGGTCTTGTATATTATATATACATATATATATATTATATTATATAAGAATTCTCTACATGCCAGTGATATTTTAGTGTCATTGATAGCTATCAATTTTGTTAATGCTTTTAATGACATTTTATTTATATATTTTCTGTTTTCTTTTTAATGAATTTTTTATTTAAAGCTTCAGTAATTTTGTTGTGTATCCTTTCTTTTTTGAATGTTTCTATAATTTTTTTTTATTTATTAGTTTTAGTTATAATCATACTTCAATGAGAAATGTTGCCTTGAAAACTAGCTCAAATTAAATTTTTCATATTTACTATTTTATCTTATTTAGTTTTGTTACAAGCAATGACAATGTTTTTATGGTTTTAGTTTTAGTTGCTGCTGATACATGCAAGCCATTATATTTACAATAGACACTGTTACATCTGTGTTACAAAAGCTCTTTACAATCACTTCAAATGTAAGAGCATCACCAGACCTTGAGCAACTATGATGCTGTTTTTAATCACTTTCAAGTCTCAAGTGTTTTTTCTTCCTGAATGACTGAGAATTAAAGTCACTCTTTTCTTCTTTTCAGTGTATTAATGTGAGTACGAGTCTATTGGAAGGTCTTGTATATTATATATACATATATATATATATTATATTATATACGAATTCTCTACATGCCAGTGATATTTTAGTGTCATTGATAGCTATCAATTTTGTTAATGCTTTTAATGACATTTTATTTATATATTTTCTGTTTTCTTTTTAATGAATTTTTTATTTAAAGCTTCAGTAATTTTGTTGTGTATCCTTTCTTTTTTGAATGTTTCTATAATTTTTTTTTATTTATTAGTTTTAGTTATAATCATACTTCAATGAGAAATGTTGCCTTGAAAACTAGCTCAAATTAAATTTTTCATATTTACTATTTTATCTTATTTAGTTTTGTTACAAGCAATGACAATGTTTTTATGGTTTTAGTTTTAGTTGCTGCTGATACATGCAAGCCATTATATTTACAATAGACACTGTTACATCTGTGTTACAAAAGCTCTTTACAATCACTTCAAATGTAAGAGCATCACCAGACCTTGAGCAACTATGATGCTGTTTTTAATCACTTTCAAGTCTCAAGTGTTTTTTCTTCCTGAATGACTGAGAATTAAAGTCACTCTTTTCTTCTTTTCAGTGTATTAATGTGAGTACGAGTGAAAAAAAGAGTCATTGATTTATCACAATTTACCACGACAACACAACATTAGCTTTCCTCCGTTGTTAGTTACATTCGCTGCTGATGAACCTTGGGGCATAAATGGGCTTCATTAAGAAAAGAAGAAACAAAGAGAAGCAAAACTAAGTTAGAATAATTGTTCAGCTTGAGCTAAGCACTTAAGGTAATGCACATCTGGTCAGTCTGATCGATTTGAATGCCGCTTGTATAATGTTCCAATTGACAGGGAATATGTGATGTGAAATTACATCATTCCACCTCAGTCTACGGAGTTAATTTTTTTATTTAGTTTCCAGGTGTCCCAAAAGACGAGTAACAGAACCGCAGCATCCAATCCATAATTCACCTGCCACGTCCTGTGGATGTTTTAATGTGTCAAAAACAGAGGTGTGAAGATGACCAAAAAGTATGAACGGTTTGTTTTTTTATTAGTAATTTCCCCAATGTATCCACCCCTCCCCACCTCAGCAGAGACCCACCTGATCATCTTCCAGCCTTGACGGGTTGCCACGCACCTGTGAGTATATAAGAGAGCAGAGCTCATTCAGAAAATAAGAGAGAGAGAGAGAGAGAGAGAGAGATCCATTCACACACGCCAGGAGAAAAAGTGCAAAGCCTGAGCAGTGGAGGTGAGCTTGATAAGAGCTGGAGACCCAAAGAGAGTCAAACGAGGAGATTGAGAACCATAGAACTCATCTATAAATTCAGAAAGGTAAGAATATAGAATTTGAATCATTTTGCATTTGAACCATTGAATCACTGGTTAGTACTGTATCTGCTTATAAAGCTTCATTTATGAACAGTGTCACAAATGTGTCAATTATATATATATATATATATATATATATATATATATATATAAACAAAAAACATTAAAAAACAATGCAAATTTTTAAATTAAACATTACAAAGTTAATTAAATGACATGCATGACTCAGAATTCAACTTCATAAAGGCAAAATAGATATTGATTATTTTATTGGAAACAACTTCATTACTATTATGTATTATAACTATACATTTTATTGTAAGCAAAGCTATAGCTTTATAAACTTCCTCATTGAATTACATTGAAAATAAATACATTTTATTGTCTATTATTTAAATTAATAAATAATTTAAATAATAGATTTAAATAATGATTATGAATACTAATTATTATTACTATTTTAATTATTTCATTTTTAATTAATTAAATATTTTTGTTGTATTTTAAACAAAACATATACATTTGTATTTTTAAACGTACAAAAGTTTTTATTTATTTTAATTTATTAAAATTAACTTGAGATGGATCTTTAAAAAATCTGATCTAAAAACTCTAAAACGTGAAATAATTTTGTTTTTATTATTAATATTATTTTAAATGATCAAATATAAATATGTTGCATTTAAATTTCATATTTAAATTACTATTATTTACAATTAATTGTAATAATGATTTACTATTACGTAATGCTCAATTTGTTGAATTTAAAATAAAACATTTTGTATGTTTGTATGTATATTTTGTATTTTTAAGGACATATTTTGCATATATTTTCTCATATTTAAATGCATATGTTTATGTATGGTTCTATAATATTGTGCATTATTCTATATTAAATTACCTGGGGGGAAATTAAAAAAAGAAAACTATTATATTATAAATATAATTAATTTGATATTCATGATCACGGTGAAATCATCAAACAATATCCAATAATGAATGAAAAAAAAATATTTCTATAACTTGATCCACTTGGTCTGATTTATAAAGAATAATATATGAATAGACCTTTTTCCCCCCTGTGAAATGGTGTAATATCTAACAGGATCATAAGAGGCTTTTGACTAATTCTGAGTTACTGAGTCATCATCATCATCATTCATACCAAAAAACAATTTCTGTGGACAATCTTACTAACGAGTCTCAAACCTGCAAGACTATAGAGTCTGTTAACTGCAGCTGATTTATTTCAGCGCTTTTCCTTTCATCACTGACGCAACACTGCGGCTGACGTCGTGCTGTGATATTAATGGACCTCACAGATCTGTGTGTGTCATGACATCATCAGAAAAACCATAAAAGGTCACGTACGAAGGAATGAAGAGAGTAGATAAAAGTCTCAAAGTTCACTTCCCTTCTTTCTTATAAGCATCCTGAAGAGTCAAAGTCACCAATTACAGAATGATTAAATATCCGTGCTCTAATATAAAGAAGCTTTTAAAGAGACATCCGTTTCTCGTAACCATACATGACCTGCCCACACGCCGTCATTGTGTGAGGACAGTCCGAGTGACTCTGATCCATTCAGTGCAATCAAATCAAGTAAAATACCTGAGCAATAAAACTCGCCCTTGACTTTATATATAGCTCAGTATCAGCCGTTTTCTTTTCAGCTTTCCATTCGGAGTCATACGAATGATACCTGAGGGACGGAAGAACTGATCTGGTCTTGTTTCTTGTTTTCAGATGCTCGGTCCTTCCTGGCTTTTGGCTGCAGCAGTCTTGTGTTTTCACAGTCCATATGCAGATGGCCGCTGCTTGGATTTGATAGACTGCACGGGCCTTAAAACTAATGAACAAAAACTGGTAAGATTCATTTTAAGGCAATAATAACATGACTTAATAGATAATAAAGATTAAACTCATGCACACTACCATTTAAAAGTTTGAGGTCGGCTGAAAGAAGTTTCTAATGCTCACCAAAGCTTAAAATACATAGCATAAAATATCATTACAATTTTAAAATACAGTCCTTAAATATAGACACATGATCCTTCAAAAAATATTCTTATATGCTGATTTGGTGCTCAAGAAATATTATGTTGACAACAGCTGTGCTGCTTAATATTTTTGTGGAAACTGTGATAGAATTTTATTTTTAGGGATCTATGAGGAGTAGAAAGTTTAAAAGAAAATAAATATGTTAAACGGAAATCTTTTGTAACATTATAAATGCATTTACTGTCAATTTTAGCAATTTAATGCACGCTTGTTGAATAGATGTATTAATTTCTTTAAAAAAATCTTACCTCAAACTTTTGAATGGTAGTAAGTTATTAAAGTGTTTTGTCTTTGCAGTCATATGTAGACACATTTATATAATTAGCAATCAAACAGACCACAAACCTAAAAATAATTTGATTACATTAAAATCTAATTAAAAAGCAAAAAAAAGAAGAAGAAAAAGAAATAATATTTTGCACACATAAAATGAAGAAAAATGTTTTTAGTAGCATTAAGACATTATTTCCTAAGATAATTATGCACATTTAAAAATAATAATAAATTATGGTAAAAAAGTACATTACTACATTTAAGATAAATTAGTATAAAAGGTGTACATTAATACCACAAATGTATAAATATTTCAATATTGAAACACCAATTTGTCTTTCTTTTGTTTATAATTACAATTGTTATGAGATTCACCCAATTATGGTGTAATGAATACACCATATCAAATCTGAATGCACCATAAACAAATGATCTGTTAAGCTTTGTACGATGTAATAACGGTTGTTAATGAAAGCTGCATTCATGAACAGCATCTGCATCCTCTCTCGTTCTCTGTCCTGACTGTACAGCAGTGTATCAGGCAGTGCAGATCAGCGCAAGAATCCTCCAATTACGGGAGAGTTTCTTCATCTGAACAGCAGAACAGTGAAGAAGAGAGCCTGAGTTTGGGTTTGCTCTTATCGGCTCTGTCTCCTGATTCAACTGAGCTCAGAGACGCTACTGGAGAAGCCCCTCACAACGACGAGAGGAGGTCTTACTCCATGGAGCACTTCCGCTGGGGCAAACCCATGGGCCCCAAACGCCGACCCGTCAAAGTCTTGACAAGTGGCGCCCTGGAGGTGGAGGAGCCTGAGGAGTCGGCGAGAAGCATCCGCGTGGAACGAGGGCAGAACGGCACGCTGGACGTTCAGCAGAGGAACAACGCAAAGAGCAACGGGAAGTATCGCATGACCCATTTCCGCTGGAACACCCCACCTGACAAGCGCTACGGAGGCTTCTTGAGGCCGTATTCAGATCAATCCCATAAACCCCTGCCCATGCTCATACGAAACGTCATTGTTAAAGACGCACAGCAGTTCAGAGATTAAAAGAGGAGAGAATGGACAGAATTTTTGGTGTCAAAACATTTAAATGTGTAACATGTAACCTTAATTATAAAAATAAATAAAAACCTTGCTGAACCAAAAAGACAGGGCATGAAACATTGTCCGATGTAGAAAAAAATAAATGAAGAGAAACAAACTAGCCAAATCACTTACATATAAAAGTCAGGATATATCACATGTGACTATGAAAGGCCCATTACTTGACATTTACAATTCATTTATATACTCGACAATAACTATCACATCTGGGATTGAAAAAGTAAGCATATTCAGAAATGCCAGGTATTTGTCTACCTGAGATAGTTTTACTGTAATATACTGTACATGAAATACATTAAAATGAATTTGCAATGTTGTCAGCTGTGGATTTCTGTGTTTGGATGCTGGGTTTATCCTTGAGTCCAACAACTGCCAGTTTGTGGACTGATCTGAACTGCTTCATGTTGGAAGCAGATAAAAGTTCACACGAAAGTGAAAATTCTGTCATTATTGAATTTCCAAACCTGTATGAGTTTCTTTTTTCAGCTGAACCCGAACGAAGATATTTTAAATAATGTTGGTAACCAAACAGTTGATGTTAACCATTGTCTTCAATAGATTTGTTTTTATACTACGGTCATTGTACGAAAGTCAATGGGTACCGTCAACTGTTTGGTTACCAACATTCCTCAAAATATCTTCTTTTAACAGAAGAAAGCAAAAAGAAACTCTGTCTTTAATTTTTACTGAATTTTTAAATCTGGAGCTAAAAGGAAAAACAAGCAGAACCATATAATTTTATAATAACTTAATAATACATTTATAATACTGGCCATAGCATAAAGTAATTCTTGGCTTTTGGTATCTGAGCATTTATACCAAAGACCAGCGAAAATAGCTGGAGTATTCTAAAACTTCTATATTTAGTATTTCAATAAATACAATTTAAATTAAGATAATTTTCCAAGGAAAAAAAAAAAGGTAGAGAATAAAAATCACAAATGAGATATTTTCTTAAAAATTATATTGTCTGGACAGCAAATAGAGACTTTTGCTTAAATGTTCTGCTTCTCAGATGTTTCTCCTGAAAATTACAAATAAAAAAATTGGGGAATTGGGAAGATCTCAAAGATCTCGTTACAAGCTCAAATTTCTCATTAAACTCTTCCAAGACCAAATCATCGGATCAATTCTGCTAAACGAAACCTTTGAGCAACAAAATTGTCCTCTGGATTGCTTCAGCACCCCTAACTTTAAACATTAAAAACAGTCTAAAAAACTGCCCCATTTCAAAGCTTTTAGAGTTTTGTGGCAAACATGTCAAATGTGCACACTGCGTTGTATCGAAAATGTTTTATTGTCTATTTGCAGTTTAAGCACAAACAAATCATGGGGAAATCGTTCATCCAGACAGAACGTAACTTAGAAAAAGAAATGGAGACACTGTGACTAATATTTCATCAATGCTACTCATAAACAGAGCTCTCCATTTCAAGACTCCAGCCAGTCATATTATCGGGGCAAGAGCTATACTTCAGATTCATTTCAAGGGAATAATTAGATTTAAATAGCAAATGCATTTAATACTAATAATACTGTTTTTCGTTGGATCGCTATCGTTGGTATCTACAAATGAATATTTATTTAATCTGCTGTCATACTTGGCCTCCTGTTATATGGTCTTAAAAAACATGTAAAGTAACACTTAAAACATATACTGTATGCAGTCACCAACTGATGGCATACATAATAGTTGCATGAATCTTCTAGTAAAAGCAAAGCAGTTCAGTTCATGGCACTGTAAAAATCCACAGCCATACAAAAACATTCCACACAAAAAATGATAAAACAAATGTCTGTTAGCCGAACATGAACAAATAAATCTCACCATTTACACCACCTCAATATAAAAGCCCAAAAAAAAAAAAGGCTTGAAGTTTTTCATCAAATGATGAAAAATATAATTATTATTCTTAATTTATTAACAGGTCTCTACAATAGGTTCTTGAGTATTAGCCAATTTTTCATAATGCACTAAAACTGCCTATCTGACCATAATATTTTTTTTAAATCTCTTTCTTTTTTAAAACATTCGATAGAAGGTAGCTCAGGAGGAGCCTCCAGTTTAAGCAAGAAAATGAATTAGAAAAAATTGGAAGAACAATGAGCTGGATGAGACAGAAATTAAAATAGTGGAAGACTTGTTAAATGTTAGCTAACTAGTCCAAAACAAAAAATAACTCGGATTGCAGATTTAAAATAATATATAAATTAATATTGTAATATCGTTGCACTGCTTGTCTTGTTGCTATATGCAGACTGTTTTCTATGTGATAATGGACTATTTTGCTTAGCAGATACACAAGTAAGCTAATCGACAAATAAGATGAATAATTTCAACATAAGATTAAAGTGTTATGTCCATATATTTATTTATTTGGTAAGCAGCGGTGTACTAAGCAGGATAATGTACAGTCAGATGGTCAAAATTGTAAAATAAACCCCCGGCTGTACATTATCCTTTAAATATTCTACTGTATGTAGAGACACAAATACCAGTCTCTGCATGATCTGGAATATTTGTAGAGCATCATGTAATTCAAACGACACAGCTGGGACTTTAAGGTTTGACCAGGAGTGTGATGCACGGCAATGCTGCCGTTCCTGATGGACTGTTTTTTCTTCATTTATCTCTGAACCCTGAAGCTAGCAGTCAATCACAAAAACAAATCTGCCATTATGAGTTTCGCAAACTCTTTTAAAATGGAGACATCATGCTGCTTAAGTGACGTGACATGTGGCCAAGTATGGTGACCCATACTAGGAATTAGTGCTCTGCATTTATCCCATCCTAAGTGCACACACACAGCAGTGAACACACACACACCGTGAACACACACCTGGAGCAGTGGGCAGCCAATTATGCTGCGGCGCCCGGGGAGCAGTTGGGGGTTCGGTGCCTTGCTCAAGGGCACCTCAGTCGTGGTATTGAAGGTGGGAGAGAGCGCTGTACATCCACTCCCCCCACCTACAATCCCTGCCTTAACCCAAAACCTTTGGGTTACGAGTCCGAATCTCTAACCATTAGGCCATGACTTCCCTAATGCACACACATACACACTGAGCTAAACCAGAGCAATCTAAAACAAATAAAAAAAGATTTACATATATTTATAAACCATATACACACAATAAAAAAAATGATACTCGTGCTTACAAAATAAAAATAAAAAAAATTGTCTGATGCCACAAGACTGTGCGGAAGCATTCAAAAATAAGCGCAACGTAGCAGGCTACAGACGCTAGGCAAATGAGTATGGTTAGATACATTTAAAAAGTGCTAATTAAATAGTTCCTTCAGCACCGGAGCTCCTTAACACCAATTAGAAACAACTGTGCTTACAACGTAAACACAAGCAGAAGACAGACATCACCTCCAGTGATCTGAACGCCAGATATCTACAGAATGCAGATTGCTGTGATAAACATAAACGACCAATAAAAAGTTCATTTCATAAAGACTCAAACTACTAGGAACAGAAATTAGCACCAAGTGAAAATCGTTTGAGAGATATTTTGTGCAACAAATGAGCTTCATTGATACTGATCGCACTTAGGTAGAAAGGTAAATTGTTTGATTTGTCAAAATGTATGAGATGACAGTTTCCCCTTTTTCTCAATTTAGAACTATGAAACTCCACTTTAAAAAGAATAAAGGTGAATCTAACAGAAATATGGTCAAATTAATGACCATATTAACATGAAACCTATTTATGAGCATTATTTTTTTGACATTATCACATTATTTTTATGACAATTCAAAACTATCCTCAAAGTCTTAATCCTGTAATACGTTTTTTTAATTTAATATTAATTTAATTTTGTAATTTGTACTGTAAAAAATGTGCAATTCCTGTAGTTTTATTATATTACAATAAACAATAACTGTAATGCAATGATTTTAAGTGAAATCAGCATTATAATAAGCATAATTAAAGACATAACAATTCCTAATGTGTAAATAATTTACAATTGAACTATTTTTATGTTTGACTGTCATGAAAATAATGTCACAATGTAAAAAAAATCTTAATGGTAGTGAAGTTTGGAAAGTTTTGTTTATTCAAAATATATTTTTTCTTTCTTTTGAACCTCTTGCAGATTTTTGCTGCAAATGCATATTTATGTTAGCTGATTTTATTTTAGAAGTGCAGAGTATCAACGAATATGTGGAAAATATTTGTAAATACGGAAAACTGAACGTGTACTGAACCTAAATCAGGAATCCAAATGTTCAAAATCCTTTCAGTAGTAGTTCAATGGGTGAACAGTCTACAGTCACTTTGCAGACAGGGGACAATACAGCGATGAGGTTTATAGTATAGAGGAGGGCTGACCACTTAGTTTTCCTGTATTACAAAACATCAAAATATAATTTCATACTTAAAACCCTCCAGCTCTCTGCACCTCTGGCTGCTACTGAAGGTTCCTGAATCCTGAGTTGAGCTGCACTAGTAAACGCACAAGTCCGGGAACTTCATCTCATAAACGGGGACAGAGCGACTCTGGGTTTGGCCGTAACTTGATGTGATGGTTCCAGATGGACTGGGAGGAGGCCTGCAAGCCAGAAAGAGTGAAAGGATAAGATTTATCAGCACAAACATCTTTCAGAGAGACGGCTGACGTTTGAAATGAGCCGTGCTGCAACCTACCTGATCGTGATTTCAAAGATTTGATTAAGTTTGCTCTGCAGCATTGTAGCCTGGGAGGAAACAGAAGAACAAATATTAGCCCTAAATTACAATATTGAGCTGATCAGTGTGGGAGAAGACAACAACGGCATACATTTTCATGAAATAAAAGGAAAAGTGCTACAAGTTAACTTACTCTGGCACCACAGTGGGCAGCTATTTCCTCAAAGGGGGCCTTCTGGAACTTCTCAACCACCTGTCTCCTGCGTTCCTTCTCCTGTTCCTCCACGCCTACACTATCCACTGGAGAATACACACATACTTTAACACCGTTCAGCTAACAGAGAAGTTAACAAAGCAATAATAATGCA